TTTTTTTTCCAAATACGGTAGCACCCCCTGGACAGCATCAACGCTCCGAATTGGTTTCGATGTCGAGGTAATATTATCATCACAAATACAACTTGTGGTACTCAGAGATAAACAAATGTATTACATACCTTAACCTTTCTCTTTTGTCCTTTAGGCAACTCCATCTTATTATACAAGTCTAGGCTTTCAACTCCTGGCCAAACGTCTGGTGTACATGAACCACATAGTTGGGAAATTAAAATCAGTTGTTGCTGTTCTGTGGGGCCCTGTGAATTGGACAATTGTTAATTACAACATTTTTATTAAAAAAAAACCAACTTCAAGTTTGCTTATTGACTTTTTTATACCGGGAATCATCCCCCAGTTTCTTCAAATTTAAATGGCAGCAATACTGAGGTACCTTCTTTCCGACAAAAAAAAGAATCATCAAAATCTCAAAAAAAATACAATCAAATTAGAGCTTCCTCCTTTTTTTAAGTGGGTTAAAAATGGATATAACTATAGGAAGTGTTGACGAAAAAACATGATACCTATGTCACATACAGTCGTCACGACGAGCTGTTGCAAACACATACCTGTTCCACCATACCAATTATACACTAACCTGCATGATTGGAGACCTTGTCCACATCTCAGCCATTATGCATCCAGCCCCCCACATGTCCACTGGTGGGCCGTAATTACGATCTCCTGAAATACATATAATGTGGAAAGACTTAGTATATACAATATAGAAAGGTAAATTGAAATTGGAGTGCGGCTGTAGAATGCACCCTAATGTTTGTTTCAAATACGTTTGATGACTGTTCATACAGGATTGACAAAGATCTCCTGTCAATAGATAAGAACCTACACTTCCCTAAACCAACTAGAGCCTGTATGAACATCCACAGTCGGAACATTTAATCATCTATAAGAAGCATCATCTGTTATCAGTTGAATTGCATGATATCACAGACCTAACGTTTTGAATAGAAATAGCATCAGGCTCATTTCACTGTCCGGAATTGCCATCTCAAAATCACTGAGTCTACACCCGGCCACAAAAGTGATTTATTTATAGGCAAAACAAGTTTATATGGCATGCAAGCACTTTTGACCTGGATTTTCAATACAAGTAAGATTTCGGCAAGGAGAGCGCTGAGTGAGCAATGAGTCAAAATTCATAGTGAAGCTTACAACTGCTGTCATCCTTTTATGTTTTGTGTAAACAGTTATTTAAATTATTCTCTCTAAGAGACAAAAAGAGAGATACAGACATACAAACTAGACTACTAAATTGGAGGATGTCACCACAAACAGCAAAACATTAAAGTGGAAGTGGACCGGCCACATGTACAGGGAAAGAGTAGAAAAGTGGACCAGAAAGGTAAGGTTACCAAGAGAAAATGTCAAGAGGATACAGTACAGAGTACTAAAAAAACTGACCTCAAAAAGTATGAGGAATTACATCTATTTGCCAAGTTTTATTGAATCATGGTGATTTTAAGTTCGCCACTATACAAGACTTAACACAGGAGATAATAAAAATCGATTCTAACTACTCAAAGTACATTGAGAGAGAAAAAAGTGTTGAATTGGAGAGCAGTAAAATCAACCATTAAAATAATTGCTCCTTAAGTAAAATTTTGCTGCTATTTATAAAAATGAATGTTCATTTATAAAAATGAATGTTCATCAGCCATCCTTAGAAGTGGTGATTTTCTTCAAAATTAAATGAGACCACCATGGACGTATCCTCTTTCCAACAAAAAAAGAATCATGAAAATCGGCTCACAAATACAGAGTTATCGCGTAACATACATACAAAAAAAAATTATTAATTTATGCACCCAATATGGCTAGCACGATAGTGATATAAAGCGCTTAAATACTGCTTTATGTCAGTCTCGTGCAAGTCGCGCTTTATCATGCTTGCCCTACAGGTTCCTTATTGTATTTATATTTGTGAGGATCTGTAATGGACTCTCAGTTGGTCTTCTGTTTAGATATCAAACATAGTACAGTCAAGAGCACATCAAGCTTGACACTTTGTACTTGGGACCGTTCTTGTCATAAGTGGCATAGAGTTGGATTTAAGTGTTAAGTGTCAAGCTTGACTTGCTCTAGACCCTGTACCAATATCCTTGTTACCAGTATCTATATTAATAATATTTATGAAGCACAAATATATATTCACCTAATAGCAATTCTGGAGGCCTATACCACAGTGTCACTACTCGATTAGTGTATTTATTTGTCTGGCCCGACTTAGCCACGCTAAACGCGCGCGCCAGACCAAAATCAGCCAGTTTCAAGATCCCGTTCTTTGTAATTAACACATTTGCAGCCTTCATATCTCTATGCAGAATTTTATTACTATGAATGTAGTATAAACCATTCAGTAGCTGCTGCATGACTTTCTTGATCTCTCCTAAACTAAATTTAACGTTAACATTTGACAGCAGGCCAGCTAGATCGTGTTCGCAAAAGTCAAAAACTAAGTAAAATGTTGAGCGGTATTTATTGTGAGACGTAGCTTTCGTTCGGCATATTTCGATTAAATTGACAACATTTTCATGTTTGAGGAGTTGTAATATCTTTATTTCACGCAACGCTGTGATAGGAAAGCCTTCCTTTTCGTTGTCCATAAGAACTTTCTTCATGGCGACGAATTTTTTATTGCTGTTCTTTGCGCGCGCTTTAAACACTTCTCCAAAAGTTCCTTGACCAATTTTAGCTACTTTTTCATATTTTGAAGACTCATCACAGAAGGGAAAGTCAAATTCTTCAATATATTTCTCTTTTTCTCGCATGCTTAGTATAGTTGAACTCGTACTCATTACTGGAGGCGGGGCGGCCTCCCGAGGACCGCTCATGCTCTGCATTTTGAAAGAAATTGTGACGAATTTACTAAACTGTTGGTTAAAATAGCTTTAGCTTGCTTGTCGACAGTAATAGGCACGAATTTCATCACAAAACAATGGGTTTGAAAAAATTATTTTACACAATCTGACATTTTCGAAACGTCTTTTTTTTCTTTAGAAACGTCAGCAAACAACCATTTATTGGTAGCATTTTTGCTAAAATTATACCAAAGACAGAAACAAGTGAATCTAATATTGTATAGTGCTATTTCGCTTTGATTTTATATGTTCTAAGAAGTCTGCAAATTTAATTTCAACATAGCGCTGCACAATGCTGTGAGATATTTCGATTATAAATTCTAAATACTTTGAAAAAATAAATCACAAACTTAGAAGAATAAGAACGTTAATTTTTAAATAATATTGATTTTTGTTTTTTCGCTTTAAAACTATAAGTTTTAAGGTTTCTAAATTAATTATTTATTGAATACTGTTTCAATCTACACAAACCACACTCCATTTTGCACTACATCAGAATCCCATCGATTAACGCATCGTAAAATGAAACGAAACAAGCTGTCAACCTACGTTTTCACAATTTTGATTTTCGTCAAAATAATAGAAAGTACCTTTTAGCATACGCGACAGTAACAAAATTAGACTAATCAAGTTAACAATTGTGTTTAGACGTCATAACGCCGTTAACCTTAATTTGCGGTGCAATATCGATTAGTGGTTATTGTGAATGAATGTAGGACACTTCATATTTTTCGCTTTATTTTTGTGATTAATGCGTCAAGATAATGTTTTTTTCACTGTAAATAGTCCGCTATAGTGTTAATGCACTCCGTAGCCGCCCCCTTTCTCTTTGTTTTCGAAATCACTGAAAGTGCGCTAAAAATGTAAGTTTTATTTTTACACTATAAATTCAATTGCATTACATATAAGTCTGTGTTTTCTTTGTTTTTCATTGTTTTAAAAAGTTTTTTTTTTAATATTTAGAGTATTGATTTCACTTTGTTCTGATTTATGTAAAATTTATATTCAAAGCTATGAGAAAGCCGAAAATTAAATGTAGATATTCAACACAATAATAATGTGTAGACACAACCACATCAATTACTGGACCAGAACTTATTTTAAGGAATTAAGTTCTTTCTATTGAGAATTCAACCTTATATTGTAATGTATGTTGATAAATATTTAAATGTGAATATAGATTTAAATAATAATGTGGCCACCAGCCAGTATAGGCCATTTGGTTTGTACCAAGTACGACAAAATTCTATATAATGTGAAAAAATTTTTATTGATTTGATTGTAGGTAAAAAAAGAAATAGAAAAAAGCTTTGGGGAAGAAATGACTTATCCTTTATGGTCATATTTTATTCCAAGTAAATGCTAAACAAAGAATCATACAAACTGCAAAATTGCAAATTAACATTTTCAACCATTAATTTACAGCTTCACAAAAGATGACAAGTGAAAGTAGTTCAGCAGTGGTGGAGCTTAACGATGCTGACACGGAAGACACAGAGTGTGGGAGTGTCACCGATGATGCTGAGGGTATACCATTGATTATGGAACATGGTTGTGACATTGCTGTTAAGGTAATTATATGAGCTATGATTAATTAAAGTGTGGTATGGGTATGGTTAAAATAAAAAAGAAAAACAAATTAAAAAAACACATAATTAAGTAAGAAGTTGTAATCAACTTCATGTAACAGAGACCACATGACTGTATGAACTTGATAATGAGTGCATGCAGTTAAAATGTGAAGTCATTGTCAACTTTAACTGCGTCTGTGGCCGAACGGATACAGAGCTCCCAGGTTCGATTTCTGGGCCAGAAGAAATATTTGTACAGCCAACATTTATTTTTCGCGTGAATTTGAGGGTAATTTGTGGCGCTGTGGTTGTCTACGTGTGTGTCCATGGCACCCGCGACACAGGGTTTCCCTAGTATGTTGAGAGTGTGTGTAAAAAAAACTTTACGCAGTCAAGGTCTCCGCTGCATGAAGTTGATTATGACTTCATGCAGTAAACTAACAGCACATTTACGCACATTACGTCGTTCGCGCGTATTAAATACGCCATGTGCATAGATTCTAAGGTAGTGTAGTTTATCATCAACGCCCCCTAATTGCTTTGCAAGTGCCTACCAACCCGCCCACTGAGGGGCTGTTGGGACCACTTTGGGAAACTATGAGCTACAGCCTCTGCTCTAATGCAACTTGAACTAAGACATGTGCTTATTCAAACCTCATCTCATGCAACATACTTGCTAAACATATATCACCTTTTTGCCAGAACAATGTGTTATCTCTACAACATCAAGGTATATAGATAACAAGATTTTCTGCCATTGGGCGATATGTAAATTATTTGCAAAGCCACAATAGGCACTGCACAAAGCAACATATCAGACTGTCAACACAATGATGTCACTAAAAACACTTCAGATATTACTTGAATGGCAATACATATATACATGACGTATATAGGTATATAGGCTATGTAAATGTGTACATGACTCACTCTTTTGGATCATACAACTACATTATATGTATAAACAATAGGAAATTCTAAATACATAAACATAGCAGCATCCATATACAACATGTTATTTCCATACATTAACATAATCGCTAAGGAGAAAATTAAACAATTTATTGATAAATAAAAATTATTTATTACTACACAGTCTCCAAATGCTTTAATATCAAGGTCATGCCTTCTAAAACTACAATTCTTTGACATTTTGATCAATAGTGTCACTTAACAAAAATGTCAACTTTCGGAAAATGGCATTTTAAAGTTTATGAAAGTAACATTTATTTTAATGAATATCATAACGTACGAACAGCACAAAAAAATCATACCTTTGATCTAACGGGATTCGAACCAGCGTCTGATGCCACACTGGGTTCACTATTTATGAAAATTTAAAAAAGCGAGATTTTCGTTTAGTGATGGCATAGTTTTGAACGTGCGATATAGTGTTTTTTTTTTTAAATGGGACAATATGGGGAAATCAGAAACCATATAAAACTGTTAATTTTTTTTATATGAAAACAATTTTGCCATATTTTTTTATGAAAACTACCGCGGTTATCACACATTATAGTACTCTATAGTAGTTATAGTACTCGACTACTAGTCCCGTTATTAGACTAGATTCAACCATAATCGATGGTCTTCATCAGGGGTTGAGTGCAACGTTCGTGACCGCGTCACGTCTAGCACTGCGCGTTGCGGCTCTGTGCGCGCGCGTCGATGACGCAGCCCGCAGTGGGAAACTCGGCGGGGCTGATACATTGCGTCAGTTCGTCCTGGAACCCTTCTTCGCTACTGCTGTCCGTAGAATTGTAGTCGGGAATAGTCCAGCACACAGAGCTCACCACGTCGTTACTACTAACATCTGCATCTGCATACCGAGCGCTATGGAGACACGGCTTCCAGGTCGGTGGCAAGCTCCAGCCTCCGTCTCTATTAAAATTTGGTCGCCTAGTTATTTCAATAGCCTCTCGGATTTTGTGGGGCACAAAATATTTCTTCCGCGCTAAAATCTTAGGTTTGTCAAAACGAATGTAGTGACCAGTACCGGAGCTCAGAAAGTGGTCTGCGGTCATGGATCGGATATGCTCAGCTAACCTGTAGCCACGTTCCGTCTCGTTTCGCCGACGTAACACTTGCCACAGTCACAGGGAACCATATAGACACCGGGCACTCCCAGAGGGTCTCTGTCCTTTGGAGAGCGAAGCAATTGCCGCAGCTGTGTGAGAGGATGGAATATTGTCTTGATGCTGTACCTTCGGCGTAACAAGTTTCCAATCACATCCGTTTTTTTTTATTTTGGCATAATCAATTTTTTGGTTAAGTGTAAGTTGTCCATAAAAATGAATAAAATTGATCAAGTTTTTTTTGATGCTGATCGACTCAGTTTTATCTAAGGCTCATTTAATTGTATGGGACGAAACAAATCGGGACAGCAGAAGTTGGTAAAATTTCTTAAAAAGGGTTTTTCATACAAAATTAATAAAATAACTTTTTTTTTATACTGATAGACTCAGGATCGTATTCTAGAACTCTATTCAATGCTCAAGTCAGGATTGCACTGGAAACACAAGCACTGGAAATACGACCCTAATGGCAGGGACTTGAGTATGATATCAAGTGCTTTAAACTTAAACTCAAATCCTGACTTGAGCATTGAGTAGAGTTCTAGAATACGACCCTCAATAAATTCTGCTTTGTCCATAAACACTTTCTGTTGAATTATGTAAAGCATATTTTACTGCCAAATATAGATCTAAAAAGTACCACATAGTACAACAAAAATAAACTATAAAAAGTTTTTTTTATGATTCCAAGTCACTGGACAAATTAATCATGTGCCTGGTGTTAAGCGACACGCCTGTCCGTAACAGTTGCAGTGCCACTCAGAGCTTTAAATCGTAGAGATTTTAGGAGTTCTGTCACTGCGCCCGTCACCCTGAGACATAAGTTGACAAGTCCCATGTGCCTGTAATTTCACCAGCACCCTTACCCTTCCAGAATGCTCATATTACTGCTTTGCGGTAGAAATCGGTAAGTTGGCAGTACTTCCTTGGACGAACTCTTCCACATGGAGCTCTACTGCTGCCACTTTTTGAGCATGCTGGTGTTGTTAAGCAGCATGCATGTTCACCCATTGATCTCCCACGTTTATTCTACAGTCCCAACGAAGCCAATACAATCTTGTCTTCTTCCAGGTCGATGCACCAATGAAGCAACTATCGACCCTAGAAACTTTCGTAACATATCGCGTGCGGTGCGTATGCGCACGATGGCCTACACCACCGCATGTACGGAGACGATATAACCATTTTAAGGTGAGTACCAGTAAATTGTAAATTTTACATTATTTATGGAATTCACAGCTGCATTGAGATCAATCAACGTCTGGAATTATAAAAGAAACTAACAAAAATACTAATATTCTTAAATAAATATGTATATTTAAAGAAATAAAGCCATAAAGATTTTTTTAAAAGTTGTTGCTGCTACGCTGCGCACGAGATAAGTAACGAAAACGGCGAGAAATATTCTAAATTAAACTTTGTTGACAACCAGCAGAGTAACAGCTCAGAATAATATTAATTAATTGTCAAAGAAATACAAGTACTTATACTATGTTACTAGTTAACGAAGCAATTCGGAAAGAGTCTAGTCAGTAGGAGAATTAGGATTGACGACCCATATATCCTTAGGTTAATTGGACTTAACTCACGCGTACTTCACTCGCCCCTCGCTACCCAAACTGATACTCTAGTCAATTTAATAAGCATTTATTTACCATTATTAATCGCGGTATGATGATATTATGAGTTACGAACTTACGTTTTAGTAGAGTTACGACAAAACCGGGTTCTCCTTAGCTGAAAACCGGGTTCCAAAATGGACGGTTACTAGGTTTTTTCGGTTCAAAGTCAAATTCAAATAATCTTTATAGGTAAGTGACCCTGCGAGCCAGCATGTTCGGCGGCATCGCCAGCGCTGCGTTCCCATTCAACATCTTCATCATCCTTCAAGTTGTCAGTCAAACAGTGGCCTAGATATTTAAACTGACACACTCTGCTAATTGGAGTTCGATTTAACAAAACAGGAAGTGTCATATCCGGCGCCTTCCTGCCCCGGGCCTTAAAAACCATAAACATAGTTTTCTTTATATTATAAACAAGTCCATGGGAAACAGCGTATCTTTCATATACGCCATACAGATCGATGGAACCAGCAGCGCCATGTTTGACCGTGAGCCAGCAGTTTATTACAGACGAGTTCACGCACGAAATATGTATCATTATCAATTTGAATTTGTATCTTTATAATTGAGAAATGTCTTTTTCAGGTACTTCACAAACGACTGGTCTCATCACACCCCCTGCTAGCGCCACCCCCACTACCCCCTCTCCACTCGGCTCGCCAACAGCTAGACCGGTATTCGCCTACCTTTGTTGCTGTTAGAACAGTCGCACTGAATGCATTCTTAGGTAAGTCACTACATACTCAACCTGTCTACTTTGTCACTTTTAAAGCTTTTTATTTTATTTATTAAGTCATGTAACTTCGCTTCTATCACAAATGCATAATTTAAAGCGAAATGCTGAATATTGTATGAAAAAAATTTTTTTTTAATTTGGCCAACTTCTGCTGTCCAGATTTTTTTCGTCCCATATAATGAAATGGTCTTTACATAAAACTGAGTCGATCAGCAGTAAAAAAAAATTTGATCAATTTTATTCATTTTTATGCACAACTCACGCTTGACCAAAAAATTGACTATGCCAAAATTGTTTTCGAAAAAAAGACTTAATTGTTCCTAAGACAGTTTCCTTGTATCTTCTACGGTTTTGGATTTCCCCATACTGTCCTATTTAAAAAAAAACTCTGTATATGCGAAATATTATAACTAAAAGTTATCAACTAATTCAGTTCGTAAAATCTTTAAATTGAGGAGAGACCTCAAGACTTGTAATTTTGCAGATGTGACATTATCAAACCAAGGTTGCATAATAAAGTAAATTGTCTTGTGTGCATTCTATCTCTCTCCAAATTCATAATTAAAAAAAATAAACTGGCGTCGATTAGACTAAAGTTGAGGTGGACAGATCATATCACCAAAGATAAAGCTGCCATGTTTCTGAAAACGACACGAGCAAAGTGAAGGAAAAGTACAAGAAAAGCAGACCCAGCCATCAAATGGGAAAGAATAATATTGAGGAAAATAACGCACATAATAATAACGCACACACTCAACATAGCACTAGGGAAACCCTGTGTCGCGGGTGCCATGGACACACACATAGACAACCACAAATTACACCCAAACTCACGAGAGAAATAAATGTAGGTCATACAAATATTTCTTACGGCCCGGGAATCGAACCTGGGACCTCTGCATGGCAGTCCGGCATGGTAACCGTTCGGCCACTGAGGCAGTTATTTTTATTTAGGAAAGATAAAGATCTGGCGTCGATTCTTTCACCCTCAAAATTCACAAATTGTCTATTACAGACCGCGTAGCGAAACACCCGATTCTAACCCACAGTGAAGATTTTAGAATATTTCTCACGACTCCGGACGAAGAAATTGACAAGGTGAGACCAGGACTCCAACGGAGCCTAGACGGCGCCAATTCCTCACTGACAAAAAAGATCCCCTGGCGTAACACGTAATTCCCTTGGTTAATATTATCAGTACCCTGACTAAAATTGTCAGTCCCTTGGCCTAAATTGTTAATCCCCTGACTTAGTCACGGCTGCTCTAAGCCCTTACAATGCTCAAAGAACTCTTGGCATCAGCACCGGAGTATGATCCGCTTTCGCAATAATGTGTGTTGTGAATTCTTAAGATTCTGTGAAATTATTGATGCTAGGGAATTGAGTGTATTTTCATCATCGAAGATATAACCAGAAATAGAGACGAAATAAGGGCCATCCCTCACTGGCGACTCATCAGGCAATGGGCCTTATAATCATTTTTAAATATCAAGTCTCGTTTGCACTAAAATCACAAATTAGAAAGCTGAAATAGTACAGCGCCAACAACTGACCTGTGTGTACGTCTCCGTATATTCCAAGAATATTCTGTATTTATTGTAATAAAGATAATATCTCTAATAATGGCGTGCTGTTCCATTCGATGGTGCGGGAAAAACAGCAAAACATCTAATTACGTAACAAACGGAATCACATTTCATCGGTTAAATATGGAATTTTGCAAGTTTCGTCCATTATAGCAAAGCTTAAGTTAAACTGGTCGATTTGAAGTGAAACAATTGACAACACCCGTCATTTATTTC